ATATTTCAAAGTGAATGATAACGTGTGGAATGTAGCTAAAGCAGTGCTTAGAAGGAAATTTTAAGCCTTATATGCTAATATCATAAAAGAGGAAAGAGCTCAAATCAATGGGCTAACCTTCTGCTGTAAGAAGCTTCGAAAATAAGGGCAAAGTGAACCACAAGAAAGTAGAAGAAAGGAAAAAAATAAAGATGAAAGCAGAAATCCGGGTGGTGCCTGTGGCTCAGGGGGTAGGGCCCAGCCTCATATACCAAAGGTGGGGGGTTCAAACCTGGCCTGGTCCAAACTGCAACAAAAAATAGCCGGATGTTGTGGCAGGTGCCTCTAGTCCCAGCTACTCTGGAGACTGAGGCAAGAAAATTGCCTAAGCCCAAGAGCTGGAGGTTGCTGTGAGCTGTAACGCCACAGTACTCTACTGAGGGCGATAAAGTGAGACTCTGTCTCAAAAAAAAAAAGAAAGAAAGAAAGAAAAGAAATCCATTATTTGGAAAATAATTGAAAAAATTATCTCAAATTCTCTCGGGCAAACAATTTAGAAAACATAAAAAGCTAAAGGTTGTTTCTTTGCAAAAATCAGCATGATTTATTCCCTCTACCTACATTGTCTTAGTCAGTTTGGGCTGCGATAACAGAATACCGAAGACTGAGTGGCTTATAAACAACAAAAATTTATTTCTGCTGGGTGCGGCGGCTCATGCCTGTAATCCTAGCACTCTGGGAGGCCCAGGCAGGTGGATTGCCTGAGCTCATCAGTTTGAGACTAGCCTGAGCCAGAGTGAGACCTCATCTCTTGCCAGCCACATACACCGGAGCTAGTGGATTCGAATCCAGCCCGGGCCTGCCAAACAACAATGACAACTGCAATCAAAAAATGGCCAGTGGTGGACACCTGTGATGCCAGCTACTTGGGAGGCTGAGGCAAGAGAATCACTTAAGCCCTAGAGTTTGAGGTTGCTATGAGCTGTGATGCCATGGCATTCTACTGAGGGCAACATAGTGAGACTTTGTCTCAAAATAAATAAATAAAAAGACAAATTGATACAAATGCTAGGGAAAAAAAATAAAGAAGGGTGAAATGACACAGGGTGATTGGGATGATATTTTGAATAAGGAGATATGATGAATTTTTCGGGGGAGGTGGCATTTGAACAGAGACCATATTATTCCATTTAAGTTTAAAAAGAAAAAATGTCCCATATGTGTATATATGTATAAATGAGTATATAAAACTGAATAGATAATTGTGGTGGTCTGGTAATGGCTCCCCAATGCATGTCCTAATCCCTGGAACCTATAAATGATACCTTCTTTGTAAAAAGGGTCTATGTTGATGTGAGTAAACTGAAGATTTTGAGATGAGGAGCTCATTCTGTATTATTTAGATGGGCCCTATATATAATTAAAGTATCCTTACAGGAGAGTAGCAAAGAAAGATTTCAGAGGCAGAGATCAGAATGATGTTGCCACAAAGAATGAGAACAGCCAGCACAAACTGCAAGAGGCAAGAAACAGACTCTCTCCCAGAGCCTCTGAAGAGAGCAAGATCCTGGTAACACCTTGATTTTGGCTCAGTGAAACTGATGTTTAAGTTTTGGCCTACAGACCTAGTTTTTTAAGCTACATAGTTTGCAGTCCTTTTTTATGGCAGCCATAGAAAACTAACACAACAGTATATTTAATTGTATTATAACATTGATCATCTGGGGGGAGGATGTGAGGCAAAGATTACAAGTAGAGAGGTTAAGAGTATGAATAGCCTTTATGTAAATTAAATATAGACGGACCCAAAAAAGAACACACATTTTTTGATGACACACATATGAAAAAATTTGCACTGTGCTGGGCGCAGAGGCTCACAATTGGAATCCTAGCACTCTGGGAGGCCAGGGCGGGTAGATTGCCTGAGCTCAGGAGTTTGAGACCAACCTGAGCCAGAGCAAGACCTCATCTCTAAAAATAGCTGGGTGTTGTGGCTGGCACCTGTTGTCCCACCCTACTTGGGAGGATGAGGCAAGAGAATCACTTGTGCCTAAGAGTTTGAGGTTGCTGTGAGCTAGGACGCCACGGCACTCTACCAAGGGTGACAAAGTGAGATTCTGCCTCAAAAAAAAAAAAAGAAAGAAAGAAAGAAAGAAAAAAACGAATGCTCATGAATGGTTGCTTAATGGAGAGAGAGAACCAGATGGCAACAGAAATGAAAAATACAGTTGAAAGATTGCAAGGCGAAGCTGGGAAAACTTTCTATAAGATGGGAGATGGAGAAAAAGAGTGAAGAAAAGTAGAAGAAGAAAAATCAATAAGTCACTGGTAGGAGATACCACAATCACAAAGGCTATTTTCTCAGAATGAGAAATAACCACTGAACTCTGGATGTGCTCCCCAAATGGGGGAAACTCAGCTGCGTAATTTGTGGTGGTGGTGGTGGGGGGGCCCATGTTCAAATTCTCTCTTGACATAAAAAAGACCAAACAAATTTATGTAAAAAAATTTTTTAAAAGCAACAAAAGTGACCCAACATCTGCATAAGGAGAGCAAAAAAGGAAATGTGATCATTCAAGAAATAATTCAGGAAAATCCCCCTCCACATTTGGTGTTAGATTGGAGAGAGAATATAGAGTTAAAGGAGATTAGAATAGCTGGTAGGGGTTAGACACTAAAGATTCTGTAAGGCCACTTTCTAAAGCCTCTGTCTACTATGTGAATATATTTGGCAGTTCAGGAATTTTTTACATAATCTTCAAGACCCAAGGTAGCATCATTTCCTCAGGAAGCTATCCGGGACCCATTTTGCCAAATCAGACAGTTCTTCAATATGTTGCTGATACTGGAATTTCGTCTTCAGTAGGTTCTTGGTCTTGGTGATTCGAAGAATGAATCTGTGGACCACAGATCAGTGCTAAGCCAGGATTTATTTATTGAAAAGAATATAAAACAACAAAGCTCCCAAGTCAGGATAGAAAACCTCCCTCCCTCCCTCTCTCTCTCTCTCTCCCCTTTTGTCTAGGAGGAGATACATACATATATACATATGTATATATATATAGTTTCATGGGGCCCTCTGTAGTTACATTTGGGGAGCGTTCAGTAATTACATTTAGCATGTCTGGGACAGAGTGTCTGGGACTGCATATCTGGGACATGAATGAATGGCTACAATCCCTTTCATTCCCAAACCTAGGAAACTTACATGAAATTGACCAGGCCTAGGAAATGGGGGTTTCTGGTTCATCGGTAAGTGCAAGGGGAGGGAAACCTAAGGTTCTGGTGTCTCCCCAGCAGTTGTTTGGCCCCTCTGGCTACTGGAACCTCCTGTGGGGGGACCCCCCTGCCTACCCTTCAGCCTGCTGGTTCCCCTGCCTGCTACCACCGCACCAAAACTGCCAAGGCAGAGGCAGCTGGTCCGCCCCCCACGCACCCAGCTCCACTGAGCTGGCTGGGACACCACTTGTCCTATACCATTGCTATAGAATCCACTACATTTTAGTAATGATGAGAATAATTATTACTATTATTAAGACACGAGGTCACAATCTGTTGAGGGGGCTAGAGCACAGTAGCATCTTCATAGCTCTCTGCAACCTCAAACTCCTGGGCTCAATCAATTCTCCTGCCTCAGTTTCCTTAGTAACTAAGACTACAGGTGTGCACTACCACACCTGGTTACTTTTTCTTTCTTATATTTTTGTAGAAAATATGTTGTTCAGTCTGTTCTCAAACTGTTTGTCTCTGGCAATCCTCCTGCCTAGGCCTCCCAAAGTGCTGGGATTAGATTATTAGGGTGTGGTGAGCCACCCTACCCTTCCTACGGTAAATTATTAATTAGTGTTGGTTATATCTGATGAAAGGTGATGTGCTTGCTACTTGAGGACAAAGGTTGGATGGGGCTCCTTCATCTTTAAATGCACAATGCCTGGCACAAGACGGCAACTCAGTCTTTTATTTTGCTTTGGCTTCAAATCAAGCATTTCCTAGTCCCCAAACTTTAACCCTTCCCCAATAGTAAGTAAGGTGAAGATAAATGAAACTTACTTTTTTCTTGTCAGAAAATTCTAAGTGTAGGAGTGATAAGGTAGCGGCCATCATGTTCACATGCCAGGTACTTACACCCCTTATCACCATGCTCACAGCT